TTATTTCTTTTTCCAACGAATCTTGTCGTCGCATTATATGTCCAAAAGTCAAACAGATAAACATCTGTATAAAAATAAATAGTAAAGCCAGAAAAAATAATAATTACGAGACAGATGTATGAAAGAGCCTTTTGACTTCTTAGAAGAGATATACTATTATGTTATGCTATTTTTAAACTCGTCATTAAAAATTTTATACTCCACATACTTTTCCTAAGTGATTAATGATATAACCAAGCGAAAAAAGCATGAATACGGCGTTTTTGACATGACTGATAAGTCTATATAGAAGAACTTTCGTTAAAAATTTAGTACAGATCAGAATTTCGATCTACATTCGATATTTAGTAAAGATAGACTGGAATTCAAGCTTTGTTCAAGAAGTTCTACTCTTGAGTCAACATATTGAATTTCAAATTGGATCAATTTATTACCATTTAACTGAAATTTTAGACTCATAATTCACTGTACGTATCTGTTTTTAATGACTCAAGAAACCATTGAGTTTTATGTAAAGATCAAGGTTGCCAAATCTCCTGATTTTTAATTCTTCTCTTGCTTAAGTTTTGACGACGTTTTATGTACAAAAGATGAAAAAAAAGAAAGTAGTCACAACTATATATATATGATAGCAAATCAGGTAGCACCAGACCAGTGTCATATATCTCTAATTTTCTTGACAAAAAATTTGTAGAAATATGAATCCAGATATGAGATACACTTACGAACAAAACAGAGCTGTCCACCATTTTTATTTCTGTGCCATCACACTTTGTATAAAATTTATTGTATAGTAGCGATACGACTTAAGCGTTTTATTTTAGTATAGTAAAACGATCACAATGTAATAAAACTCTGAAGTTATATGTCACTCGACAATAAACTTTATACAAGATATGATAAAACAGAAATAAATAGAGGAAAGAGTTTTGTGCGAGGGTATACTTTCGGAGAGCATATATGGCATATGCAACAAAAATCAAATTTTTAACTGAGCATTACAATAAATAATAGGATAACCTGTGTTTTGTGCCTTATTTTACGAACTCTATCAGTAATATGTACGCTATATTAGGTTTTTCTATCGCCAGAAACATGATCAGCAAAAAAGAGGCTATTGAAAAATTTCCATCTCTACGGGGTGGTCGATCTTGTTAGATTCTATCTGATTCCATTGCTACTATGGACCGATAAATAATGAGTTTAAAGAACTAATTATGAGTCAAAGTTTCAGTTATACAAAATTTGACAATATTAACAGGAACAGAACAAAAAAATAATCCTAATAAATGTCGAGCTCAAAATTAAAATGAGAAAATCTGTGAAATAGTGCAAGATTGTTAAACAAACAAATACACTTTGAAGAAAAATACAAACGTATAGAAATAATATCAAAAAAGGATGTAAATGCTTTACTCTGTTCTCTTTCGATTCTTCGACAGTTTCTTAATACACATTTATATCAGTTTTATTTGTATTTTTCAATGTACACCTTCTAAATAATTAGTAAAATAAACGATATGTAATTATCTTTATGTGTTTCTTTGTTTTGCTCAGTAAAATAGATTGTTTCATTAAATCACTTATTAAGAACCAAAACTGTAAACATTTGAGAATAAAAAACTTTGCTTTTTTGAAAAACGTGCGTGACACTGCTGTATTTTTCTTCTGATTTAAAGAAAAAACTCTCCTGATTTTTAAAATATGGATTTGGCAACCCTGGTAAAGATGTAAGAAAACATTGATTAATATATTTGAAAATGGACAAAAAAAGAAGTCTTTTCTGATACAGATATCTATCACTTCTCCAGCAGAATATCGAATAAAGCACTACAACCTTAATTATTTATTAAATCACTCTAGATAATAAAATCAAAATCAAGTTCAATACTAAATCCAACTTTAAGTTAAACATTATCCACAATTATATCCTTCATAAATCCTTCTGTAGTTGAATCTTTCACAGACGATATTGCTCTACATACGATAAAATTCCAATATTAAATAACCACTTACCGTTCAACATAAATATTAATATCTTTTATTGTAATAAACTATTTCAAAACGGTTTACGAAATATCTGATTAGTTGAAATGATCGATAAAATAATACGTAAATTATCAATTCAGACAATGAATGATCTTATGAAAGTGATCAGTTTGTTAAATAAAGTAAGAGTAATAAAAACAACTTTTTAACAGTAAAACAAGAAATTTGATCAGTGAATAAGTTGGTTACTGATAGAAAAACTATTTACTCACGTAGTATAATATAGAATAAAGAAATTAGAGTTAAATCATTGCACGAGTAATGCATGTTTGACTTTTGCTGTTGACTGGGACTACTTCTGCTACTGCACATGGTTTGCAAACCATCTTGAAAGTGTGGATGCATAATATTTATATCTACACTCACACCCTAATCAGTCTTTTACAACAAACTAGAGAAAGGAAACAAAAGACAAGCCGAGCACACTATATCCTGTTTTGACTTCTCCACTGATTGTTTAGTATAACTGAGTGTTAAAATACTTTATTTCTTTTACTGATCGATTAAATCCATGCCTTTTTTTTATACTTCACAATAAGAAACAAAATTTCCATTTTAATTTGATTCAAAATATGTTCTATGTCTTATGAAATATAAATTAACCGAACAAAGAAAATAGTCGTGATACTAATATTTTATAAGTTTTTTTTTAAACTTAGCTGGTTTATTTACAATTAATTTTACCGTACATATTCAAACTTCCAATAAAACATTTTTTCTATATTTTCGTTCCTCTAATAACAATAGTCTCACAACAAAAAGATACAAACATAAATCAATAATTCTTTTTTTTACAAGCAGGATTAAATGTATAAGGATATTTTTTTTTGTTTCTTTAAGCTTTTACAACGCACAGAAATCAAATCAGAGAAAAAAAAACGAAGATATATATGATAGTGAAAACATGCACAATAATATGGATAGATAGATAATAGAAATAACTTTTTTTCACCAGTCATCTTATTCTCGATTGCCCAGTAATGTAAGAATATATAAAAATATGTAAACTATATCAATATAAAGCATAACCGATGCAAGTATATGATCTTCAGCACTAATTTCATGACGTTTTCCACCCATAATTAATTGTGTATCAACAGCCAAGAACTAAATATATGATATTAAAATATTGTTTACTCATTCTTTATACTTACAATTGAAAAAGCGACAGCTCCAAGACCAGCATATACTGTATATAGAATCTTAAAATCAAAAAAGTCATTTTATCATTCTATTCTTGCAAATAAAAAAAATCTGACTCACTTGTGAACGAGTAAATATACATACAATACCAAAACCCATAAGGGCGATTGAGATAACGAATAAAACTCCAAAACATGATGTAAAATCATATTTTGTTTGAAATGAAAATATTGTTACACCCAAACACACAAATGCGGTTATACCGACAGCAATTAAAACCGAATCAATCTTGTAAAATGCTGAAATCATACCCATCTAAATTATAAGAATATTTAGAAAGATTTTATGATATAGACAATCATACCATGTAACCCATTGAAAGTGTCTAAATACGAACGAGGAAAAAGAGATATTTAATTTTAAATTTTTATGTCTTTATTTACCAGCATGCCAAGTAAAATAAGATTAACAGGAAATCGTCGAGCAGCAGTTTTACAACAAATTATTGCAAAATATGTAACTAGGAAAACAACATATGATGTCCAGTAAAGCCATTGACCGTCCGAACTTCGAATATATGAACGAATCGATGGTCTAAAGAAAAAAATTCATTTTCAATGTATAAAATACAAATAGACAGACGTACGTAAAATGAAATAATGCAATGATACCAAATGTAACTAATAATTGTATCAAAAGAATTGAATAAACCTTTCGAACAAAAACACGACGGATTTCTTTGCTTTCAAGACCATTAAAACTGCCCCATCCGCCTGCAGCTGGTTCATCATCTATTTTCAAAAAAAGAAACAATAATCATATGAAAATAAATTTATTCGAGAAATTAGCTAAGCAATAGAAATGAGAAAACGTGCAAGCAAATAAGTTAACCGTTTTATACTCAGTTTAGTTTTTTACTAAAAATTCTTATTTTACATATACGACCCATATTAGTAAAAGATTTTACAACACCGTGTATATTGATTAGAAAATAAATACATACCCTCATCATCTAAATAAAAGATTTATAAATTTAAATATCTTTTTTCGTAGAAATTGATTGCACAAATCAATCACTTTAATGCCTGACAGAATCTTTTAGAAAACAAAATTCATACCCTGATAGGAAGAACTAAGTTTAAATCGTTCGTTATTATTTTCATTCATATCCATTATGATTCATACTGTTCTGTTTCTATTTACCTATGCGATAACTCTATAATCGATGAGAATAAATAAATCTGACTATATTATAATAGCGATAGAAAGAAGACAAAAAAAACAAAACTAATCATTAAAGAAAATCGTTTTAGCGGCAAATAATATGCTTACAACCTGCCGGTACACCGTTATATCCTGAAGCTGTTAATTAGCTTGCAGATGATCTTTCATAATAGAGGAAATAACTAACCTTTAGGAAAATCTGGACGTGGTAGCATTGGAGGTGGTTGAAATGGCATTTGATTTTGTCCATAACCAGCGCCTTCATTAGTATTAAAATAATAGATAAATCATTAAATTAAAAAAGAAAAAAACATACCAGGTTGTCCTGGATATCCACCACCTTGTGGAGGTGGAAAATGTTGATAAGCATCTGGTTGTTGCGGTGGATAAGCACCTTGTGGTGGATAAGGGTTATTGAACGTATTCGGATCGTGACTCATTGATTCTAAAAATAATTCCTTGTTTTTTATCAATAAAAACTATAAACGATTCATCACGTACATGTTTTATTATTATTTAATAATAAAATAAAAGAATTTGTTTTATAAATAATCTAAAATAAATAAAATAAATTCTTACATAATTATGTCTATGACAATCATATAGTGGTGTATGTTTTACATATTTATATTTAATAAGAACAACGTTGTTTTTTCTCCATTTACATAAATAGATGATTCAAGAGGAGGAAGACAAATCACGAATCATCCATGGATGCTCATTCGCTCTAGATAGAATTTCATGTGGCGTATCTCTTTATTGAGACAAATATTAGGATGATAAGAAAAAAAGTCAGTTTTCTTTATTTTATAAACTATTGGTATGAAAAGTCAAATAGAAAAATTCAAATTTAAAAAAAATGAAACCTGACATCTATATTATCTTTATTTTTGTAGAGGTTCTTTTTATCAGTATGGCTTTTATTCATGACGAAGATTCTCATCATAGTTATCGGTGGTGACAAAAAGGGTGGTCAGGTCTTCTGAAAAATTCTGAGATTGCAACCTCCTTCTGATTTTAGTGTTCTTTTGTATTTTCGTAAAACTCATAACATTTTATATCGAAGTATTTTGCTAATAGTATCAGACAAGATCTTCGTTCATTACTAGAATAATTCAATACTACCCCATCTAATCTCTCGATATATTATTAATAGTTCTGGAAAGTAACAATGATTCAGTAAACTCGAGTTCTACTGATTATATCTATTTTCGTGATCTTCTTGTACATATATATACAAATTCGAAAAAGTACTAAATATCAATAATAGAATAAACATGTTGCTGTATATGTGTATACTCTTCTTTTGACATTCATGGTGCATCTTTACTTTCATTTCGTTACGTATATAGTTTTTTCTTTTTTGTAAATGGATTTTGATTGTTTTCTATTATTACTAGTAGTATTAGCTAAGTAATATACAAACAATATTGTTTCTCTTAGGAATAAGATGTATTTGAAAATAAAAGATGAATTAATGGACAAAAGTTTCAAATACATTCGAAAATACTGTTTTAATATACCACTACAACTGACTAATTCGCAAAATAACCACCTTTCTGATTTTTGACTGTTCACATCTGGTCACCCTGACTACTTCATATATAGAGTTCCAAAAAAGTATGTTTCTTTGCAAAAACAATTTCAAAACTAGAATCTGTCATAATTTTGTTTATTCGAGACTTCTCAGACTCACGCGATAATGTAGACCTATGAAGTAAAAGAACATATTTCTGAATGATTTCGGTCTGGCTCTACACGATGATGATATTAGTTTTGCTTAACAGCGTACGTGGACAGGGCGATATAAAGATATTTTTTTTTTGTTTCTTTAAGCTTTTACAACGCACAGAAATCAAAGCAAAGAAAAAGCAAAGGCATATATGATTGCGAAAATTTACAGAATAATATAGATAGATAGATAATAGAAATATCTTTTTTTCACCGATCATCTATTGTCGTTTGCCTAATAACTCAAGCATAAATATAAATATGTTAACTATATCAGTATAAAGTATATATGCTGCAGCTATATGATCTTCGCCACTAATTTCTTGGCGTTTTCCACCCATAATTAATTGCGTATCAACAGCCAAGTACTAAATTTATAATATTAAAATACTGTTTTATTATTCTTTATACTATTCAATACTTACAATAGAAAAAAAGACAGCTCCAAGACCAGCATATATTGTATATACAACCTTGTAATCGAAAAAGTCATTTCATCTTTCCTTTCTTAGAAACAAAAAATAGATAACTCACATGTGAACGAGTAAATATAACTGCAATACTAAAACCTAAAAGGGCAATTGAGATAACAAATAATACTCCACAACATGATGTAAAATCATATTTTGTTTGAAACGAAAATATTGTTACACCCAAACACACAAATGCGGTTATACCGACGGCAATTAAAACTGAATCAGTCTCGTAAAATGCTGAAACCATACCCATCTAAATTATTAGAAAGAAAAAGAAATGATTCATTTTATCATATAAGCGATCATACCATATAACTCATTAAAAGTGTCTAAATACGGAAGAGGAAAACAAAAATTATTTATTTATTTTTTTTATATTTTTGTTTACCCCCATGCCAAATATAATAAGATTAGCAGGAAATTGTTGACTAGCACATTGACAACAACAAACTAATGAAATACATATAACGATAAAAGCAATAATCAATGCCAAATAAAGCCATAGACCACTCGAACTTCGAACGAATGTGCGAATCGATGGCCTAAAGAAAAAAATAGGAAAACTTCAATTTTAATAACTAAAATAAAAATACAAAGCCGTACGTAAAACTAAATAATGCAATAATACCAAATCCAACTAATAATTGTATCATAAGAATTGCATAAACATTTCGAACAAAAACACGGCGAATTTCTTTTCCGTCAAGACTACTAAAATCTCCCCATCCATCTGTAACTGTTCCGTTATCTATTTCCAAGGAAAAAACAATAATTATATGAAATAAATTGACTAGAGAAATTAACTAAGCAATAGAAATGAGAAAACGCACAAGCGAATAAGTTAACTGTTTTATACTCAGTTTAGTTTTTATATAGCATTTGATTTTGTCCATAACCACCACCTTTATTAGTATAGATTATTAAATTAATCATTAAATTAAGAAAAAAAACATACTAGCTTGTGGTGGAGATTCAGCAGCTTGTGGTGAAGATCCACCAGCTTGTGGAGGTGGATAAGATTGATAAGCATCGGGTGGTTCCAGCTGATAAGATTGATAATCACCTGGTGGCGCGGAAGGATTATTGAACGTATTCGGATCGTGACTCATTGATTCTAGAAATAATTCCTTGTTGTTTTATCAATACATAAACTATAAATAATTCCTCACGTACATGTATTATTATTTAGTAATAAAATAAAAGACTTATTTTATAAATAATCTGAAATGAATGAAGTAAAGTCTTAAATTATTATGTCTATGACAATCATATACTAATATATGTTCTACTTATTTATATTCAATAATAACAGCGTTGTTTTTGCCTTATTTTCATAAATAAATGGTTCGAAAAGGTGGAAAACGAATCACGAATCATCCATAGATACTAATTTGCTCTACATATGAATTCGTGGGGCGTACATCTTTATTGAGTCAAATATTATGATGATAAGAAAAAAAAGTTAGTTTTCTTTGATTTTTAAGCTATTGGTAAGAAAAGTCAAGTAGAAAAATTCAAATTTCAGAAAAAAAAATGAAACCTGACATCTATAATATCCTTTTTTGGTAGAGGTTTCTTTTATCAGTATGGCTGTTGTCCATTACGAAGATTCTCATCATAGGTATCGGTGGTCTCAAATATCATTATAATATTGCAAACGAAATGAAACGAATTGGTGATATTGTTTGTTGATGCAATAACAACGACAACAACTGCAATGGTCTTATATTACTTATGCAGGATCTACGAACAAAATTAAAAGAACTATGTAGTGAAGACCATGCATTTAAACATCCTATACAAAAATGTATCGATAGAGTCAATAGTAAATCATAGACAAAAGAAACATGCAACGAATAATTATCACCTGATTTCCTGCATTGTATTGATGAATGTGTAAGACTAATAAATTATTCTAAAGAATTTATATTTAATCTTATTTCTTTCTTCTAGTGGTCACCGTATATTTTCAAATATCTTAAATGAAAATGTTTTTTGAGTTTTATAATATATTTGATTTTGGTTGATTAAAAATGAGATTTTATTATAGATGGCTTTAAATATTGCACGTTTTTTTATTGCAAGTCGTAGTAATGTTTTTAGAATAATGTCGACACGAACACAAGCTACTGCAACTGCTCCGGCTCCAACTGCAGGATCAACAGCTGATATGGTTTTCACATTTGCTTCACCGTCGGAAGTAAAAGTTTTCAAGAAAACAAAAATGCAAATATAAATTTTATTTATTCACATCAGGTTTTCTATAATCAAGCAAAAAATGTCCGACAAGTTGATATCCCAACTATGAGTGGAAATATGGGTATTCTTGGTATGTAGAATATAATCAAATGAATTATATTTATTTTTCTCCTCATATTATAGCTCATCATGTGCCCATTCTTGGTGTACTCAAACCAGGTGTTGTATCTGTCTTCGAAGCAGATGGTAATACAAAACGTTTTTTCGGTATGTTCAAGGTGATTCAATTTTCTTTTCAAGAGTCGTTGAAACTATATTTGACATCAACATACGAACAAGATATTGCATGTCAACAGAACTAATTATCTTCAGATTGAGTATCTCATGTCATCTGCTTCCGATTGTACATGATTCACTATAAAGAAAAGCATTTTTTAGCTATACTTACTAATAGAGAATATTATGTTGCATTTAGTTTACTTCATAAATAAGGATAGATATTCTATTTAAATTATCAAATATCATGCCAATATCTCTAAAATAAAGTTTATTCTTAATACTTTCTAGAAGATCATTTTCTCAGTTTTACTGATTTTATTGTTTGTCTGTAAAATTCGTCGAATAATATCGAAACAAATTTTATATTTCAGTATAGACTCGGCTTCATAGTTTTTCGCTTTTATATATACACTTCGTAAACATTTTCTATTCCCAATTCTTAATATGATAGTTATTTTACATATAAATAAGATCATATTTCTCTCATATGAATAAAAAAAGCAGATTATCTTAGATTATTTATATTTTTAGTAAGCAGTGGTTCAATAGCTGTACATCCAGATTCAAGTGTACAATTATTAGCTGAAGAAGCTACACTTGTTGACAATCTTGATACCAAAGTAAATAAAAATTTTCTGTAACAATATTTCTTGAATACATATTTATTTTATATTAAGGCATGTCAAGATGCTTTGTCTGATGCACAACGTCGATTAGGCTCTGCTAAAGATGATAAACAAAAAGCGGAATTTCAAATTGAAATAGATTGTGCTGAAGCAGCTGTGAAAGCATCTTCTGGCGCTTTTCAATAAAACAAACAATCATGTGTGTAGCTTAGCTATTTGTCCGGTTGTGTCTTCTTCTGTTTTTATACATATTAAATAAACACATACATTCAACTAAAATAGATATATAATAAATCTTCTCTCTTTCTGTTTTTACAGATTGAGTCCTATTATAAAAAA